AACCTCTGAACCCCTAAACCCCAAAACCCCTAAACCCTAAACCCTAAACCCCTAAACCCCTAAACCCCTGAACCCCTAAACCCGAACCCCCTAAACCCTAAACCCGACGTCATCTTCGCCGTGTCTCACATCCGGCCACTGGTAGGGCGTAGGCTCGCCTCGGTAGTCCCATCCTGCCAGGAGATCTCACGGGGAATGTGCGGCTTAGGGTTTAGGGTTTAGGTCTTCAGGATTTAGGGCTTTAGAGTTTAGGGTTTAGGGTTTAGGGTTGGGGTTTAGGGTTTAGGGTTTGGGGTTTAGGGGTTTAGGGCTTCAGGATTCAGGGCTTTAGGGTGTCCTTTAAGCTACCAAGCCCTATTTTTTTGGTAGGGTCCCCATAAATTCTATATCGGGGGTTGTAATAAGGACCTACAATAAAAGGTTATGATAGCTTAAGGTAGGCCTTTGAGGATTTTTGTTGCGCGCCTGTTTCTCTGAAGTTATGTAGGGTGTTGTGTATTCCTGGGCCGGACCTTGACATGTAGTTCCTGCTTTGGAAGGTGCAACATTCGATTGACAAAGCGCTACCCAGGGATTCCGGATTTCGGGTGCTCTTGCTCCATGAAAGCCCTGAACCCTCAACCCTAAACAAATTTGGTTTGGGGGGTGTTCTGAGTTCCACCTCTGCCCCTTAGACTTTGTTTCGGGCTATGGCTCGAAGGTCTACTTGGAGGTTCATGGGACTATTTTTGGCTCCCGCGTGGCAGCATCCGAAGGCACTACATAGCATGTTTCATGCGACATAGTAAGTACAGTTATAGGTACCTCAACTAGGGTTATAGGTAATCATAAGTACCGTTACCTGATAATTTATAACCAGTTGCATGAACCTTTAAGTAAAGTAATGGATGTGTTCAAGATCCCCTCAAAATGGCCGAGATGTTCTTTTGAACCCTACACCCCAAGCCCTGATATCCACGGTGCCTTCTGCTACCCCCCTACTACCGGCGGCTAACCCCTAAGGGGAAGGTGACGGGAGGGTGCTGGGCATAGTGGCTGAAGACATGCATGTCTGATCCGGATCGGATCGACCCCTAAAGTGCCCATCCGTCTCGTTCTCTGAAGTAGGGTCCCTTCTAGGTCCTTCCTAGAAGCGTGCCGTACTGTTTTGGGGGCCTAAACAAGGACCTTAATTTATAGAACCCTCCTTGTATGTGGTATGCCAGGGCCTCCGTGCACCATCACTGCGCAAGGCATTGGTGCAGCTTCCTCTAATGAATAAGCGCAACCTTATATGGGGGTTTCAGAAAATAGGGGACCCTAATATAGTACCCTACATAGTAGGATCCTGATGGTAAGGACCCCAAAATAAGGTACCCCTTATTTTCGGAAAGTCCCATATTGACCTGGCTCTTTCATTTTCGCAGCCTGAAAGCCCTGAACCCAATGATCACCTTCCAGGCTCCGCGCCGCTTACACTTCAGGGTTTAGGGCTTCGGTTTCAGACAAAAAGTCATACCTGTTGAAGAAGTCTATAAAACGCTTTAGGGTTTAGGGTTTAGAAAGGGCTTGGGTTTCAGAAAAAAGCCTTACCTGTTGAAGAAGTCTATAAATAAAAGAAACTAGAAGAAGGAACCCTACAAAGGTACCGAACCCCTAAACCTACCCTAAACCCCCAACCCTGAACCCTAAACTCCTAAACCCTTATTCACCTATAATATAGGTGTAATCGGCCATGCCTAGGGTTTTTTCGGGACTGTGGTGAAGCAGGATTGTTCTGCCTTCCTGTTAAGGAAGTTAATTTACGTTACCATAATGCCATAATCATTAAACTCTACTATTTACTATACATCCCTGTTGTGGTATTCGAAATTAGATTCCGCAACAAACTATACATCATTGTTATGGTTCGAAATTACTTAAATTCCTTGACAAACTATACATCATTGTTTTGGTATTCGAAATTAATTAAGTTCCTCAACAAACTATACTACTTATGTACTATACATCATTGTTCTGGTATTCGGAATTAAACTCCTCAACAAACTATACATCCCCGTTATGGTATTCGAAAATTGAACTCCTTAACCCTGAACCCTAAACCCTAACTAAACCCCCCTAAACCCTAAACCCTAAACCCTAAACCCTAAACCCTAACTAAACCCAAAACCCAACACCCTAAACCCGTAGAGGTCGGCCTGTCCAAGTGAAGCCGCCAGCCACGAAGGAGCGGTTCAGGATGTTTTGCCAGGCCACCTCTCGGGGCTTAAGTTGAGGGTTTAGGGTTTAGGGCTTAAGTTTAGGGTTTCGGCGCTCATCCTCGGAAGCTTAGGTTTTAGGGTTTGGGGCTTCAGCTTAGGGTTCAGGGTTTCGCAGGAATGGTGCAGGTGTGCTCTTGCAAGCCCTTGCACCTCGGGCAGCACACTTGGGCCCTACATTGCTTGAAGCTACTGAGACCCAGAGAGCCCAATACCCCTTAATTGAGCAATATACCTTAAACTATAAGGGGCTTATTATTATTATTATTATATTATTATTATTATTATTCTTATTATATTATTATTATTATTGTTATTATTATTATGGTTTAAGGTATATTCCTTAATTAAGGGGTATTGGGCTCTCGACAGGTCAATGTGCTTCACCGGAAAATGCAAACCTCCATGCAGCTGGATCTTCTTCAACTCTGCTATTGCGGTTTAGGGTTTAGGGTTTAGGGTTTAGGGTTTAGGGTTTAGGGTTTAGGGTTTAGGGTCAGAAGGGCCGAAATAGGCCTCTTTAGTCACGAACTGCAGTTGGAGCCTTAAACAGTGCCATGGTGTTTAACAAGATCTATACTTCGGCGAGAATCATAAGCCCTCTTGGCGCACGATTTGGGCCTATACTACATCGAAGCTACACACAGAGATTACTTCACAAAACATTTAGACCTCAACCCTAAACCCTAAACCCTTATTGAAATACCAAGGCCCGACATCCCTCCAACAAATGCACCTGGGAAGTCTCCCCCCAGCCCGGATGCTCGGTATCCTGGGCTCTGTTTTTTGATGGCGGGGGGTGGGGGTCGGTTTAGGGTTTAGGGTTTAGGGTCCTGGGCTCTGTTTTTTGATGGCGGGGGGTGGGGGTGGCGGCAACATATGATGCAGGGGCCTTCACAATTAGAATAGGGTTTTGAGGCATACTTTACTATAACCACAATAAGGAACCCCCAGAATAGTGTTGGTAATAATTTCGGCCCCTATATTATACTTTAAATATACTAGGGCCAGACCATGAGAGTGTACGATTACGGATCATTCGGAGCTCCATCTGGAGCCCTACACCCTCAGCCCTAAACCCTAAACCCGAAGTCCTCAAAGCAAACCCTCTGATGGAACCCTATGGGTTCCCTAAAAAAGGAAACCCTATATTCTTGCACTCCTAGAACCCTAAAGTTCCCTGAAAGGGGGCAGACCCGAGGTCCTCCACGCTCATGTCAAGGATTTGTTGCCCGCTTATGTCAAGGTTTGGGATTTAGGGTTTAGGGGTTTAGGGGTTTAGGAGTTTAAGGGTTTTGGGTTTAGGGTTTAGGGGTTAGGGATTAGGGGCTCAGACTTCCTATTTGATCAGCTCCTTCTCTGCTTGAGGCTCATGCTAACACTGCATGTCGACCCCAATCACTACCCAAAGGCTCCTTAAAGTACCTATATAGTAGAATCTACGGTTCCTGTAGAGGTTTAGGATTTAGGGCTCCTTTCAGGGTCCTTAAAGTACCGATATAGTAAGGGGACTTATGACCCCATTTATAACTACCCATGAACCTCCAAGTAAACGGAACCCGTATACCTAGACACAATGATCGAGCGTCGTAGTCGCGGACGTGGCCAGCCACTGGGTCGTTTGCCACAAGGCCTGAATACCACTGACGGAACACGGACCCTGAACCTAACCCGTGGAATAAAGGCTACCTTAACCAAGCAGAACATACTTTTGTAGCATCCCCATATGGGCTTCCATGGCTTACAGTAGAACCCTTGAACAAACAGCAGCAAGGTGGGTCCCCGTGGGTTGAAACGGTATAGAACCGCACTTGACAGCTTCAGAGCCCTAAACCCTAAACTTTGGGGTTTAGGGTTTAGGGTTCAGGACCCTAAACTTTAGGACGTCTGAGTCTGGAAACTTCACAGGTCGCCAAGGAAGCTGCATTCAAGGGTTTGGAGTTTAGGGTTTAGGGATAACTTCAGAAATGGACAGACTGTATCATAACGTGCTACTATGTGTTTAACCCAGGGGACTCTCGAGATTCTGCACCGGATTCTCATGATTAAGGCCCTTATTATGCTTCACGAACTATCTGTCTTTTCGGAACGAGAACGTAACTCATCGCTAATCGTGCAGCACCCTGGTCACTCAAGCTGCAACACTTGCTTGTAACGAAGGTAACAAGTTCCTGAGAGTATCCCACCTGGAAGCAGCGGAAGCCTACAACAGCCAACGGCCACAGGCCTCTGTCTGAGTAGGCTGACGAAGTCTCACTGCTGATGGCTGGCACCTGCCGTTCGTCCCACCACATCCGAGCCCTAACCACCAAACAAAACCCTGTGCAAATAAAGCTTGACTTTCATCCAACGAGCCACTAAAACGTCGATGGAAAGCCGGCCTGTGGGGTCAGTAGGCGACCCCAAGACACAAATCCCAACTCAAGCACCACCCTGGTTGATAAGTTCCCTCCGCGAAAGGTTAAACTGACCATTGTGATGGAGCTATGTCACGCCCTCGAGGAAAGCATTTGCTGTAACGTTGATGTACATAAACAGCTTGGACATGCAACCTCACTAAGGTTAGAGGCAACAAAGACAGAGACGAACTTCAACACCTAACGTCCACACTCCTAAGCGACTCCTAGACACAGCCACGTTTTCGTTTAGGCGATCAATCTAAGTTGCGATCATTGCGGCAGCATAACATGTACTTTCTAGCCCTGTTATAGCATGCTAGAGTAAGTGCACGCCAAAACATAAACATAGATGGACAAACATTGGAGGCTGAACTCCATCTTCTGACACCGGGATAGTGGATAAACTTGTCGAAGTGCTTGCAACATGCATCCGAGGATCCCACCTTATCTCGGACACCCCCCCCTAAAGGGTACCCCTATGCCTAAACCTCAAAACCCTAATCTGTAAGCTCAAAAACCCCAAAACCCTAAAACCCTAAACCCTCAACCATCCAACCACGACCTCTACTGTTGATGGACAAAATTCTGCATGACCCACATACAGTATAGTACCATAATTCCCATAGTTTATGTATACAAGGTCATGCAGGATTNNCTAAACCCCTAAACCCTCAACCATCCAAGCATGACCTCTACCGCTCCCGGACTGGTTTCGAGTCATGGACCGTACAGAACTTCGAGCTTGCCTTGGGCGCAGCCGCATGCCATCGATCGTACATCTCTGGGCCGTAGTCGAAACCCATTCTGGGCTCGTGACAAAACCCAAACATGTACACAGAGAGAGAGAGAGAGACAGAGCAAGAGAGACAGAGAGAGAGAGAGAGATATATATATATATAGACACATATATATATATATATACATACATACATATATATATATATATACATGTATATATATATATATATATACATACAAATACATGCATGTACATATCATACATACATAGTTTGGGTCTCAGAAGTTTAGGTTTGATTCAGGGCTTTGCGGAGCTCAGTGCGCTGGCTTGCTTTTGGGTCGTTCTGCCTTGAAGTTTGACAAAGGGAGGAGAAGCCAATGGAGTCCCTTGGGAGCTAAGCTTTCTGCCCAGCAGCTTCTGTGTATTTCGTGGCTTTGAAACAGGAAGCGGTACTACATCCCAACACCATTGGGGGTTTCCGAACATAGGGGACCCTAATGTAGTACCCATAAATAGTAGGATCCTTATTATAAGGACCCCCAAACATGTACCCCTTATTTTCGGAAACTCCTATTCTGTCCAGGCTATCCGACCAAAAGAAGATCCAAAATCCTGAGATGCAAGCCGCCAGTTCGTCTAACCCAAGCAAAACACCGCCTAAATCGAGGTATGTTAGCCAGTCCAGCAGCACGTCCATTGGCGTGTCCTTGCGGTTGAAATCGTTGTAGTTCGCCTGATGCTCTCTGAACCCGAAAAAGCCGAGGCTTTAAGGCGCTGATCCTCTGCCCCTGCGAACCGTCAACGCAGCAACAATCCTGCAGCTCGTGTCTTCCGTCCCCCACAGTAAGGAGTTGTTACCCTAAACCCTAAACCCTAAACCCCACAGTAAGGAGTTGTTACACTTCATTTCATTAGAAATCCGTGGGCTTAGGGCTTGAGACAGCCTCTGGTCACTGGAGAATAGGCTGCAGTCGCCCTGGCCTGAACACCTCTACAATCAACTCAGCAGTCTGGGGCTGTCCATACTTGGAGGCCCAGGGGACTTAGTAAGTCGGTTATAGGTAAGGTTATAATTGGGGTAACTCCAGTTAGGGTACTTATAACTCTACTTATAACCTACTTACTAAGTCCCCTGAGCCTCCAAGTACATGCAACTGCATGGTGGGGGTTTTTGGCTCCGTGTTCACTCATGGCTGAAAGGTTGCCCTAAACCCTAAATGTGCCAACGTCGAGTGGTGCAGAAATCCGGCCAAGTTGCAGAAACCGGTCGTCCCATCAACGGATCCAGGCGATGTGCTATGGCCTTGAGTTGTCAAAGCTCTCTCAGCTTCTTGGTTAGGCCGGTGCAGTGTTGCTAACAAATGTAGATGACTTGAAATACCCGGGTTGTTGGCTGAAGGCTTTGGGGACGTAGCCTGCGCAGCAAGCTCTCGAGTGTAGAAGTTTCGTTCCTTCCCACGGGCACACGTACACCATGCAATTGGCCACGCCCGAAGCTTAGTCGGCCAGACTGAAAGTGACCTTTTTTCAGAGAACTATGCACATAAGGACACTTTGGCTTAAAGTACGCACTACATACTTGAAAGTAGGAGCCAGAAAGTTGGAACAGTACTCTCCTTATGCCCTTGAGGTACACTTTGAGGGATCCCAGCACAAGCCATCCCCAATCCATGTTCCAACTTTCTGGGGTTCACTACAGCCTACAGCACCCTAAACCCCTAAAATATGCGAAAATCTGCACCTGAGGGTAAGGCTCTTCAGCGGTCACTGGGCTTCTGCCGTAAATCCCAAACTTGAACCCAAAGCCCTGATTGAACACTTGTAGAACCCTTATACATTATGGATCCCCTTATAGATCCCTCAAAGTTCCCTTTCACTGGACGTGCTAGCTGGGCTTCTACCCTATCCTAAACCCAAAAACCTGATAGAACCCTTCTAGACCCCTTCTAAATCCCGTATGGCTCCCTCATGACCCCATTATAAGCCCAACCCCTGTACCCCTAAAACCCAATATAAGCCATTACACCTTCAACCCTAAAGCCCCTAAGCGGTAACCCGGCTCCCTTTGAACCCTAAATCCCTAAACCTTAAACCCTGAACCCTAAACCCTAAACCGTATATAAACCCTGAACCCTAAACCCTAAACCCCTTACAGATCCCTTATAGATCCCTTATGGACCTTTCATGGCTCCCTTTAAAATGCTGCTACTTGGGCTTCAAGAGCTCAATACCCCTTAATTGCGCAATATACCTTAAACTATAAGGGTCTTATCATTATGATTTAAGGTATATTCCCCTAAACCCCTAAACCCTAAACCCCTAAACCCTAAACCCAATTAAGGAGTATTGGGCTCGCTACATGGGCTTCAAGTGCTCCAGCCTTGAGACGCAGCGCATCGGCGACGACGCTGTCCGAGTTGCAAAGAGCCCTCAGCTCTTAGGCTTCGAGGTTTCGGGTTTAGGGTTTATATAGGGCTTAGGGTTTATATAGGGTTTAGGGTTTATATAGGGTTTAGGGTTTATATAGGGTTTAGGGTTTATATATGGTTTAAGGTTCAGTTTTTTTTTGAGGGCTTAGGGTTTAGGGTTCAAGGTTTAGGGGCTAGGGTTTGGAGTTCAGGGGCTAGGGCTCCGGGTTTATGGGGTTTACGGTTTACAGGGTTTAGGGTTTCCGGTTTAAGGTTTATCGGGTTTCGGGTTTAGGGTCCAGTTCTTGTTTAAGGGTTTAGGGTTTTCGGTATAGGGTTCCGGGTTTAGGGTTATTAAGGGTCTAGGGCTTAGGGCTTCGGGTTTAGGATTTTAGGGCTTTTGGATTTAGTGGTTGCGGCGCTCACACTTGGACAATCCAGGCGAGGCCTGTGGTTAGCAACGACAGCGAGCTTCCAAAAACACCCCATGCCCGCACCGATAAACCTGCTAAGGGGTTTGGCGGCTCAGGGTCCAACTACCGGCTTTCAAGGGTTTAGGGTTTAGGGTTTAGGGTTTAGGTTTAGTTCTAGCGAATCTCGACAAGATTGAAATGGACAATCATAAGCCCAAACGCCTGAGAGCCAAACCCTAAACCTCAAACCCCCCAAACGTTACTAAACCCTAAATCCCCTACGGCCCTACACCCTATCAAGGTTTTGCGAAGGTAGGCATTGGACTGTGGAGCTGTAAGTTTTACCCACGGAGAGCTCTGGTGGATAGGATCATAGGCACCTCGAGATTTCGAGTAGAGATTGCAAAAGTCACCGACTATGTCTTTTGTGTTGATCAAAGGTGTCGGCTTTGGGGCTAAATTGTAAATCCAAGCCTCTCATTGCAAATTGACCAGATCACGATGCTGGGATGGTTTCTGTCACGTCTGATCATCGCCTCGAGTCAGCGGCCCAATGTTTGATTCGGCAGGGTCCAACATCTCAGAGCCGTGCGAAACAACCCTAAACCCTAAACCCCTAAACCCTAAACCCTGAACCCTAACAGCCTAAGCCAGAAATCCCTCAGTCCCCGACCCCAAATTCTACAGTCCTAACTTTATACATTTGTAACTATACTTGCCCGATGCCTCTGGATTCTGCTTCAAAGAGAAGACAGTCCAGGGGCCTAGGGTGAAAGAAAACTGCCCGACTTGGTGACTCTAACCCTGAACCCTAAACCCTCTGTCTGTCCACTATCTGGCGCCTTTGGGCCGTTGAGTAGGGTTCTGGCGCATGGCATGGCGCAACGAGATCAAGACCATGCAGGATTGCAAACATCATCATGTTCAGTATCATGTTTTCCTGATTTTGAATAATAGAATTAGTCTTAGAATAAATTACAAAAAGGGTCCTAAATACTAGTAACGGTTCCAAACATTAACATAGAAACCCTACATTCTACTATATAGGAACTCAGGACCCTCTGGGTTAGTACTCATTCCAAAGACCCCGAAACCTTAAACCCTGAACCCTAAACCCCCTTAACCCTAACGCCCTGAGCCCTAAACCCTAAGCCCCTAAACCCTAAACCCCTACATACCCCTTAACCCCCCTTAGCCCTATATAATCCTAAACCCTAAATCCTGCTTTCGCGGCTGAGGGATCCCTGAGTTTCCCAAACTACCACCCCCGACCACTCAGCACAATCCTTCAGCGCCTGTGGAAAAGGTTTAGGGTTTGGGGTTTAGGGTTTTCAAAGGGTCCAAGTAACATGCTGAAACTTTTGGGCCCCTAGTATGAAAAGGCCCAAGTAACAATATAGTATATACTTTTGGGCACCAGAATGTCGACTAAGAGCCTACTATAGTGGTACTTGGACCCTTCGGACAGTTAGGTTTCGCTTTGCACTCGCACTCGACCCTGTCAGGCGAGATTTCAGGACGCAACTACGTCTTTCGGTGCGCACACTCGGCTACGTCCTTTCGGCTTAGGGTTTAGCCAGCAGCACATCTCCGAAAGTCGGAGCAAAGACGACCCTTACCGGATTCCTAGGACTAAGGCTTTCAGAAGGACCATAAGGCTGAAGAGCTGAAGTTCAATACCCTCATCCATTGCTGAGCATCATCGCTTCTTTTTTTAAAGGGTCCCAAGATTCTAGAAAGGCGATACGTACCCGAGCCTTCATCATAAGGTCCTCTTACAGAAATCCGAGCTTCTACTTTAGGAGACCTCCGGTTCAAACTGCGGCCCCCTGTAAAGGGACTACAAGTGGGTTTAGGGTTTGGGGTTTAGGGTTTAGGGTTCAGGCTATGTAGGTACTTGGGGCCTGTTGGGATGGTTCCCCTAATCCACAACATAGTTCTCTCTGTCATGACAGATGTATTTGCAGGCGGCCAAAACCGTGCGTGGATGTACACAGGTTCGGCTCAAGAAAACATGTGAAGTCTCTACTGTGCTGCAGTCCTGTACTCACCATTGATTCAATACTCACGCGATGAAAGATGTTGAATCGGTAGTTTGCTGTTGTCACGCATCCAACGGCTGCCACGACACAAAGTCGACAAGGCAACATGAAGCTTCGCATAGGTGCATGGAGTATGGATTCAGCTGGCCTTCGTGCTACAAACACTCAGACTCCAATCGCATGCGTCAACCGACTACCAACCTAAAGGCTCCATGTACTTTTATAGTAGATACTTAAGCCCTAAAGTACCCATATAGGGACCCCTTTAAGGCTTAAGTAACTACTATAAAGATACATGGAGCCTTTGGGCAACAGCGAGCCCTTCACTGCCAGCCCAACCTTGATGCCATGAATCTCGAACCGCAGTCGTCAAGACCTATACCCTTTCTTCCACTGGGCACAAGTCTAGCCCTTTTCAACCAAGTATGCCCTCTTCCCGCAACCGGAATCTTAACCCGAAGCCCGAATGTTAGACCCTGAACCCTAAACCGGTTTAATGCAGAGCACTCCACAGCATCTTAAACCCAAAGCTTCACCTCCATCTCCGCATCCTGGCCGTTGCGGTGGTTCTCCGCCCAAACCAGAAAACCCTGACCGGCAGAAGGTTGAGGTTTTGGGGTTTATCTCTAGGCGTTCGAACACCAACAAAACTACTCAACAAACAAACAAAATACATATATATATATATACATACATGTGTGTGTGATGTATAAACTTTTCCTTACGTAAATAAGCTGCGACTTTAGGGTCTGGCTTTGGAGGGTTTAGGGTTTAAGATTTCGGGTTCGGGATTTAGGGGTTAGGGTCCAGGGCTAAGGTACTGACTGTAGTTTATGTATACTTCAAACCCTTTCCCCAAGGGTCCAAAGGACCCAATAATCAGGTACTTAGGTTTCGGATAGTAGTTATGTAGGTTACTATTTGGGAGAGTATATGATTATTAACCCTAAATCCTAAACCCTAAACCCTAAACCCTAAACCCTAAATAAGTACTTGGACCCTTGGGGTTTAGCCCTAAGCCCTAAACACTCTCTCGATGGCTCAGAAAGCAAGGCCCTCACCCCAACCCTTCCGCAGCCTCGCTGTCGGCCGCCCGGAGCAGAGCCTGTTGCGAGATGGCATGGGGCTGGACGGCACGGTGCAGGGTTTACCCATTGGCCCCATAGTAGTTCCTTTTTGGGGGTTACCTTATAGGATTCTATATATGAACCCCAAAAAGGAACTACTTTAGGGCCTATGGGTATGTTCAGGGCTTAGGGTTTCAGGAACTAGAGAATTTCAGAAGAAGGAGCAAGCCGCTCGAAAGAGACTTGAGAACGTTTTAGGGTTTAGGGTTTAGGGTTCAGGGCTTATGGTTTCCGGCTTAGTTAAAGATACCAGGGCAGAGATGTAAAACTCCACGCACTTCTGGTCAGCTTCTTTATCTGGCCTAATCCCTACACCCCTAAACCCAAAGCCCTGAACACTAAACCAAAACAGGCGCCTCGTTGTGTGGATTGTGCGCGGTGCGCCAGCCGTTCGCGCCGAACTCTCGGAGTTTCCTCAAGCGATGGACCTGGCGTCGCTGACTTCCGAGACCGCTGGGAGGATCCTTAAACAGTGGATCCCGTAAGGGTTCCCTTAAGGATTCCTTTAAAAGGTTTCCTTTCCGTGTTCCCTGAAGGATTCCTTTGAGGGTTCCGTTTAAGGGAGCTCTGAACACAACGTACCCAGTAGTTAGTAGTACCAGGTTCCAAATTAGGGGATCTACGTTTTAGAACCTCCCTGCCGTCGCTGCCTTGGAGGTATGGCTTTTTGCCTCCCACCTAGCTAGGACTGGCCCGCACTGCAGGAGGTTTGAATTCAGGGTTTAGGATGTCAAGGCGAAAGCAGGGGTGTAGGCATTAGTAATGAATTTAGAGTTTATAAGGTTTAGGGTCCAATTTAGACTCTCACAACTCAAGGGCTTAGTTTAGGGCTTAGTACTTTAGGGTCTAGAGCACCCCTTAGTCGGAGATTGGGTTGAAGGCTTGTTCGTTCAGACTTTTCGGACCAAACCCTTAATGGGTGAGGAGCTTCGACTCAGTTTCTTTCTTGATGGAGACCTTTCTGAAACCAGACTTGATGACTGCCAGCATTGCCTCAGTTCGATGGGAGCTTCCTCTGAGGGTTTCTCTAGGGGTACTATGAGGGCTTAGGGTTACCTTCAGGGCTGGCTTTAAATTTGGGCGTGATTCATGAAAGCCCTACACGCCCTAAAGCCCTAAAACCTTAAAAAAAGCCCTGAACCCCTAGAACCCCTCCCTAAACCCTAAGAGCCCCAAAAGCCCTAAGAGCGACAGCCAAGAACCAGCCCATAGTATAGGGGCCTTAGTAATTACCTAGACGATTCTGGGGTTTCCTTATTCTAGCTATACTAGAAATGGCTACTCCAAAACCCTATTCTAATTATTACGGCCCCTAAACCCTAAAGCCTTGTAGCAGCCCCTATAGAACCCTCTGAGGAACCCTTTAAAGGAACCCCCAAAACCCTATTCTAATCCTAAACCCTAAACCCTAAACCCTAAACCCTAAACCCTAAACCCTAAACCCTAAACCCTAAACCCTAAACCCTAAACCCTAATTAAAGCTCCTATATTAGCCGACCGACACAAACCCATGGGGCGACTCGCAGTCACGAGAGGGATCCTTCATCTTGTCTGGGGGCCTTTGGGTTCAGGTTGAGGGTTGAGGGTTGAGGGTTGATAGGGGTTTAGGGTTTAGGGTTTAGGGTTTAGGGTTGAGGGTTTGATAGGTTTTTTTATTTGTTCTAGGGCCTTTTTCCGTCTGCTAGGTACTAGCTCGGGAATCTACCTAGGTAGAAGGCAGTTGTTGCCCTTTTCACCCTCAGAAAGAACGCGAGCTATACCTCAAAGTCGCACATGACATACATCCACCCCCTGCTTCAGCACATCAACTGCGGCCCTCGCCCGGATCAGCCGAACCCGTAGACCGGACGACACAACTCCCTGTAGCAGCACTCTCCGGTACAGGACCATCCACATCCCATTCCGCCAACCCACGAAGCCGAGCACGGGCTGCGTTTATAGGGTTTAGGGTTGAGGGTTTATAGGGTTTAGGGTTTGCAGGGTTTAGGGTTTAGGGTATAGGAGGGACCTTAATCTTTCCGGAATATTTTTGTATGACTTTGAGGAAACACATGGAAAACACGGGTCATGTGGCAGACCTCGATAGTGTGGTATAACACCCCGCCTGCCTCGGTAAACGCGAGAAGCAACAAGCACTACGTGAGCAACAGCACAGCCGGCCCGAAGTGCCTGTATTTGTGTTTGGGTTTAGGGTTTAGGGTATAGGGTTTAGGGTTCAGGGTTTAGGGTTTAGGGTACAGGGTTTAGGGTAAGCTTCCTGAAGCCTCTATGAGAAGTATAGTCCCAAGGCAGTCTCCCTGTCCCTTCGTGTGCGGCCTGCAACTGATCCGGAACGGCCACGCCCACAGCTGCGAAGTCCTGGAAGAATCGACGGGTAAGACTTAGCAGCTTAATAGCAAATTCGGAAAGCCTAAACCCCAAACACTAAACCCCTAAATCCCTAAACCTTAACCATAACCGTTTTATAGCAAAGTCGGAAACCCTAAACCCTAAAATTCCAAAACCCTGCACCCTAAACCCGAAAATTCCGAAACCCTAAACCCTAAAAATTCGGAAACCCTGAACCCTAAACACCAAAATTCGGAAACCCTAAACCCTAGACCCTAAAATTCGGAAACCCTTCAAGCGACGTCCTCATGTCCAAAACCCGAACTCCGCGGCTGCGAAACCCTTACTTAAAGGAAACTACAGGTGGGGAGTTTCGGGTATACAGGGCTTCTATAGGGCATATAGACCTTCTATAAGGCTCCGACAAAGGTAACTACCCACCTGAAGATGTCCTAGACCTTCTTAGCCCTGACACCCGAAAGCCCGCAAACCCCATCGGGGAGCCGAATCTCTATACTATCACTACGAAATATTGCAATCTCTTAGTATTACGTAGTACAGTATACGTATAGAGTATGTCATATCTTATTTTTTAAGGGATGCATAAGGGCATATCCACAAAGCACGAAGATCCTACATCCAACCTCTTGTCCTAAAAGCACCAGGTCCTTTGGGTCCGGATTTCCGCGATCAGGGTCTATGCCACAAGGATTCAGCTTGTGAGGTTTAAGTTTATGGCTGTGTTGGGGTGTTTGGGTTTAGGGTTTAGGGTTTAGGGTTTAGGTGTTTGGGTTTAGGGTTTAGGGCTTTAGGGGGCCCTATGGTGTAGGCCCCGAACTTGTTCAAGCTGGTTCCCTGTATCCTCTGAGCTCGTGGCAAATTCTCCGGGCGGATTTCGTGTTTCAGGGCTTTGGGGCGTTTAAGGGCTTTAGGGGATCAGGGGTTCAGCGGCTTAGACATCGAGGGCTTTGGTTAGGGTTTATAGGGTTTGTTTCACGCTTACACTCGGACAAGCCTGGCAAGGTCTGCAGCAAAACTGGCTCAACGGTTTAAGGTTTGAGGGCTTTAGGGCTTCAGGGTGTCAGGGCTTTAGAGTTTAACGCAGGGGCACAGGTGCAAGGCAACTACCAACTTCTTATTCACTATGAGCAGTAGTATTCTAATCAGTATGACTATGCTATATTAGGGTCCCCTATTTTCGGAAACACCCATATGGGGCTTCAGAAATTGAAGGTTCCCTTTTTGTAAGGTCTATATTTCTGACTGTGGTTCTGGTTGTGAGTATGGCAATGATCCAGGACGATCCTAGAGGCAAACAGCAACCCAAAGCCTCCTTGATCTGACACCCTAATGTAGGGGCCTTAATCATTAGAACAGGGTTTTGTGGTAAATTATACTATAATTATAATAAGGAACCCCAAAGTAACATAAACAATTCTTAAGGCCCGTATTTGGGACCCTTTATAGTATATCTATAACAAGGAACTCCCACGATGGTGTAGGTAATTATTATTGAGGCCCCTATAGTAGACCTGGAAACCTTCGTCCCTGGATCAAAAAGACTCCCGCTGAACCCCTAAACCTTGACGGTATTCGCTTTAAAGCTTGAGGCCTAGGGAAATATAGAGGCCTTAATAACTAGAATAGGGTTTTGGGGCCCCGTACGCTCTATATTAGTAGTAAGGAACCCCTAAAATCCCTAAAATAAAAATATGGGTAATTATCTAGGCCCCTAATGTTAAACCCGAAAGGCCTGAACACCGAAACCCGCAAACTCCAAGCCCAAAACCCTAAACCCTAAACCTTAAACCCCCTAAACCCTAAACCCTAAACCCTAAACCCCCAGTCCTGGTGGTTCGCTGCGCCGAGGATCTTTGTCGGAACGCCGTTCAGGGCGAAGCCAGTGTTGGGGTCCCAGGCTATGGATCCTTGGGGTTTAGGGTTTAGGGCTCAGGGTTTAGGGTTTAGGGCTACCTCTCAA